GAAAATATACCATGACCAAGTGGGATTTTTTAGAGGATTGTAAAATGTGTAAAACAATAACAATCAGTTATGAATTTTACCATATTACAGACCGGAAAAGAAAAAGCATATAATCAGCATAATATATGTAGAAAAAAATTTACAAAATTGAAGTTCCATTCAGTGTAAAAATGTTCATAAATAAAAATAGAGAGCAACTTCCTCAACTGGGTAAAGTGCTTCCTCAAAAAACTAACAGCTAATATCATATGCAATATGTATTAGTATTAAACCAAACGTCTTCACCTCAAAATTGGAAGCAAAGTAAGAATGTCAGTTGCAAAGAGGTTTTAGCACTGTATGAATAAGGCAAACATTTAATATATTAAAACACTAAAGAATCCAGATTTGAAAGAAAAAATAAACTGCCTTTATTTGCAGGAGGCATAAATATCTCCATAGAAAATGCCAAAGAATTTGCAAAAATAATTCTGGAATTAGTGAATTTAGCAAGATTGCAGAATATAACATCTAAACAGAAGAACCAGGTTTCTTTCTATATACTAATAACAAAGAATTGGAAATTGATATTTTAAAATAGTACTTAAAGCATTCACAAAGAGATTAAATATTAAAAATTTACATGCAATATTTATGTTTTAATACTATAAAACAATGGTTAAGAAAAATAAATGGAGAAGTATAGAGCTTTCAATATTTGGAAAACAGGCTATTGGTCCAGTATCAATTGTTTCCAAATTGGTACAGAATAAATATAATCCAATCACAATTCAAACATGGTATTTTTAGAATAAACAGTGAATGACATTTGTTAAAATTTCAAAAAGACACAGGTGTAACTGCATACCAGGAAAATTTGATGCTTATGTAATCCATGCACAAGTAATCTCAAGTAGTTTGGTTCTATACTCAAATCATTATATATGGATTTTTATTCATGTCTATGAATGTCTACTTACATATAGGATAATTTTTTCCTAGTTATAGTGGTCTCACACATTGTGAGATGCTT